GCAAAGATGTTAATGCTGTGTCATGTTTCCTAGTACCGACGTGTGAGTATGAGGCAAGTAGCATATAGACGTTAAGAGTGATACTGGGGCCAAACCAGCTCAGGTGGCTGGGACAGTGATGAGTCACCATACACAAACTTTGTTTAATGAACAAAATTATTCAAAATACTGTACAAAATTACCTTCAGGTTATGTGCATAAGGTATATAACTATGGAATACCAATGAAATTCATGTTTACACCTAGGTCTCATTCCCAAGATAGCTTATTATACTATATTCAAATGTTCCAAACTCCACACACGTCAGAAATTGGCAACCCTTCTGGCCTCAAGCATTTTGGATAAGGAATATTTATCCCTCCCCCCCACATTTATATCCACTTATATATATGGTCATTTAATCCATAGGTCAGGTCGGTAGATTGATAGCCTCACAGGCTTTTATTCTAGAACTCCATACTCATATTTTCATTTGCCAAAGGCGTCTCTAGTTCATTATGTCTAAAACCAGACTCATAATTTCTCCCCATCCGTCTTGAGCCATTCCCATTGTTCATAGCCTGTGTGGGCAGCTCCCCATGCGATGGTTGCTCAGTCCCAGACCCAGGGGCCTCTTCCTTACCCGTCTTGTCCTCTTTGTGTCTAGCCCATCATCATCTCCTAAGTATCTGCTGGAGTTGTTGCTTCCCTGCCTCACTGCCTCATCCTCCCCAGTCCGCAGCCATCATCCCCTTTGATAGGGACAATGCGGTGGCCGACCAGCTTGTCTGTCCACGTCTCCCCTTCCCCCTTAGTCATTTTCAGTCCGTTGCTGAGCAGATCTTTCTGAAACTCAGATCTGATCACGTCATGCCACTGCACAAAGCTCTTTTCTGTTGTGAACAGAAAAATCACAAGATCCTCTGTTCTCTATCCTGAAGGTTCCGAGGTAGTCCAGTCCCTCCATCCCTGTCAAGTCTTACCTTGTGATTGCTGTCCCTTGATTCTGCTGTCTTCTGGTCACCGTCATTGCCAGCCTCTTCTTCCTCAGCATCATAATCGTCATCACTTTTTGTTCACTTTTCACCACACCCCGCTCTCCCCAGCGCATCCTCAGAGCTTGTCGTAGCACTGCTGCCCATCAGGCTGCCCTTCTCTAGTGTCCCTGTCATAATCCCCTTATTTTTTTCTTTTTGAGACTTGGGCACAGTTTTTCTCCTTCATTTGCAGCTTTGTAAGTGGGTTATTATGAAAGTTTTGAGAGACACAACAGTCAAGAACTGTAAAATCCTCATGTACTGAAACAAACAAAGCCCTTGCTGAGATACCAAGAAGCCAGTTGCATGGACGCTGATGCGGGAGAATCAGAACGGATGCTGTCGACCGTGTTTCTTGGAAGTGAAATAATGGGCCATAACACAGTCTGTCTCAAGACTGTCACATATTTATTTGTGTTACTATTTGATTATTTACTTCTTTTTTAGACCTTTTTTTGAGTTCTGCAAGGGCAAGGCATCCCTCTGACTCTGAATTCTGTGGCCCCACTAGCAAACAGCAAGTGTTCATTAAGTATTTGCTGAATGAATGAACATACAATAGTGTCATGTAAAAATGAAGGACAAAAGGATTCAGCCACACTGGAGCCCCTTTTACAGGCTGAGCAGTTGGAAATAGTGTATTGTCATAGATAATTTTGCTTTCTTTTTTTTTTTTTTTTTTTTTCAGTTTTGGCCGGGGCTGGGTTTGAACCCGCCACCTCCAGCATATGGGGCTGGGGCCCTACTCCTTGAGCCAGGTGCCGGCCACTTTTTTAACTCTTTTAAGGGTTTTTTACAATGTAAAAAATACAATGTGAAATACACAATACAATGTGTATTTCATGCAAATAATGTGGGTGGCAGGATTATTTTCAGTGATTTAATGCAATCTGAAATATGTCTCTGAAATACTATTCTATTTTTCCATTAACATATTTTAGCAATTTTCAACTTGCATGGCTGGGCATTTGATTAACAGAAAAAAGAAAAAAAGGAATTGGAGATGTAATTAACACCTGGAATGCAATTGCCTTATTAATCTCTAATGTAACTTTAACAGCATTAAATATGCATATATCTTAGACATGGCTGTTTAACTTTTGACTCTCTATCTAGCACACAGCTCTGAGACCTAGTTGTAAAAGGCATGAGAAACACCTTTTTGAGTTAGGATAATGGCGCCTCTTCCATAAATGGAAAAAATACAAATGCTATTTTACATGAGGGGTGTAAGCAAATTGTAGAGTGGATGGATAATCTGCACTGCTGTGCTGCTTTGTCTCCTAAACGTCTCCTCCGTTTCATAATGACTCCAGTTCTGCGGAGTAATGACATCCGCTAAGACCGCTAATGACTTCCGTTCCTCCCTATGGTTATGCTTTAAACCAGTTAGGTTTTAACCATATTGCATTTAAAACTGTCTTGAGGTACCCAGGATGTGTTGAATAGGCAGGTACATAGGCTGGCTAAAAGTTCCAGAATAGTTCTATGTGGTTATGATATTACCTGCAGGATCTGCCAAGTGTGAGGCTCAGGACGGTCGCCAGCTCAAGGCCACCCGCCTTGTCAGAAGCAGGCCGCCATCAGCAGCCCGGGGAATTTTGCCAAGCAGCAACAAAGATCTGCTGATACTGTATCTTAACAATTTTTTCAAGAGATGTTAGAAACCTAGACCTTTATGTGAAATATCCACATTTTTAATTCTTGCTAACTAAAAATCGTATTTTATAAACATTGAACGGAACACAAAAAACATATGTCTGGGTGGAATCTGTCCTCAGCTACTCCAGCGTGCGCTCAGCACTTCAATGCAAACACACACACATGTGCCGGCCTCTGTGGCTGGCTTCCCGAGTGTGTGTCTGATCTTCACAAACACAGGGTAAGCCTTTTTCTGGGCAAAGACTCCACATGGGAGCTGTCCTGAGGCACTAGAGCAGACGTCCTCAAACTACGGCCCCGCGGGCCACTTGCAGCCTGCCTAGGACATTAATCTGGCCCGCCAGGTGTTTTTGCTGCCCCTGCCTGTCCTGCTTAGCAGCTGACTTGTCCCAGGGCCTGCAGTCTGGCCCTCCAATGGTCTGAGGGACAGTGGACTGGCCCCCTGTTTAAAAAGACCCCTGCACTAGAGATTCTGGCATGTGGAAAGACCATGCAGGACAGTGACTGTCTTCTGGAGTGTCACTTCTACCTGCCTCTGGTGACAAGGAGCCCACAAGCCTTCCAGACACCCGTGCTGGCTGGGACAGCTCTGACCTTAGAAAGGGTTTGTTTGTTTGCTCACTCAAGCAGAAACTTGCTCCTGTGACTTTGTTGTCTTGTCGTTTACCTTGGGTTTTTGCCCCTCGTGAAGTTGTTTTCTGAGTAAGGAGGACTCCAGTCAACCAGCAGCCTTTCTTGTGCGTCTTAACGTGGCCATCTAAATTTTAACAGGATTTTGATGAGAAGCAGCGTTTTCACTCGGGTAGAGACTTTACACGTCCACAATTTCTTTTCTGAGGGAGTTGTTAGGAAGAGTATACCAGTACTCTGCCAGTTTCCCCAGTTTTTCTTTTGAAATAACTTTCCTTGGCTGGGCACAATAGCTCATGAGTGTAATCCTAGCACCTGGGGGCCAAGGCAGGATAATCACTTGACCTCAGGAGTTCAAGACCAGCCTGAGCAACAGTGAGATCCCCTTCTCTACTAAAAATATAAAAAATTAGCCACATGTTGTGGTGGGCCCCTACAGTTCCAGCTATTCGGGAGGCTAAGGTAGGAGGATCACTTGAACCCAGAAATTTGAGGTTGCTGTGAGCTAGGCTGATGCAAGGGCACTCTTGTCTGGACAACAGAGTGCAACAAAAATAGCCAGGTGTTGTGGCGGGTGCCTGTAGTCCCAGCTACTCGGGGGCAAGAGAATTGCCTAAGCCCAGGGGATGGAGGTTGCTGTGAGCTGTGAAGTTACAGCACTGTACAGTGGGAGATAAAGTGAAACCTTGTTTCTAAAAAAACTAGGACTAGTTTCTTTTTTTTCTTCTAAACAATCAAAAGTCTAATTATGTATTAAGTTTTAAATCTCATTGTGTGTCAGAATGCTTAGATTCATCACTTCTGGCTAGGATTTTTGAGTATTCTGACACTCAAAAACAAAAGTATTCACAGATTAAAATTGGCTTAAGCAAGCAGACTTTTGAGACTAGAGTTTTCCCTTATTATTTTATAATGCACTGGAAATTACATTTCAATAGCAGAATTCCGTGTTATATTGTTGCCAACTGACCAACTGCTCAGTGACAGTGTATTACTTTTTCTGTATATTCTCAGGTGCTGTGATACTCTTGGGAAGAACCAATATGTTTCGCTTTAACCATCCAAAGGAAGCTGCCAAACTCAGGGAGAAAAGAAAGGTGAGCATGACATCTCCATGACATTTCCAGGAGGGACCCCGGAAGGGACCCAAGATGGGACGGGGTGTGGGGATGTCCACTAGGGTCCAATAATTTGACTTCTGGACAGAACCACTGAAAAGTTGTTCTGTCACCAAAGTCGGTTCTAGGGAGTTTGTTTCCCACCTGATGATGGGCTGAGGATGTAGGAGAGGGAACATGTAAAGACTGGAGCAGGCAAGGAGAATTCTCCTTCCAGATCCTTCTCTTCAACCTTGTACCCCTCCCATGAAGGAGTTGGACATCATTCCACATTAAGTACGGAGTGACTTTTACTTATCAGCATGTAATCTTAGAAATTAACCCAACGTTGGATCGTGTTCATTCAGAATTAGCCACAGTAAATTGTACTTCTCATTAGGACGGGCGTCAGAGGAGTGAGTGTGGGACAGATGGTGGAGACATTGGCTTAGGTGGAAGGGGACATCTGGAGCCTCTTTAAGTGCTGAGCGAAGGAGGTGGGCTGAGAAAGGAAGGGAAGAACGGAGAGGGAAAGAAATCTGTCCACAGACATTCTGGCCGGTGCTTGGACTGGTGAAGATAGTAAAGACACGTTTATGTGTCTGACGTTTCTGTGAGCCAGGAACGGTGCTAACCTTCCATGGATATTCTCACTTTGGGCAGCAGCTGGTTCTACCTCTATGTCACAGACAGTCAAGGTGAGAAACAAACCAAGAAGGACTCTCCCTACCTTGTTCTGTAGCCAGCAAGTGGGGAGCCCAGGCCTCAGCAAGGGCTTGTATCCCGGAGCATTTGCCCTTGACCGCCAGTCACACAGCCTCTCCTCTGCCCTCCTTGGGAGGGCTGCCCATGGTCTCCAGCGCCTTAGATGGGAAATGCCAAGAAAGCTGTAAACCCAGTGTTCTCCAGGGCTGCCCACTCCAGCCTGTGGAGCCTCTTATCTGTTCCAGCCAGGGTCTCCCTAGAGGGTCCTTTTGGTACAGAGTTTCAGAGGAACAGAGGGAAGAAATCCTGTTTGCCAGGAGCTTTCCATGGAAGCAACGTCAGTGCCAGCTTTTATTTTTCTTGTCTCCTCTCACCTCTCCCACCTTCATCTTTGTCACTCAGTGTGAGTGAGTGCTGCTGATAAGGGGAGGAGGACAAAAGTGCCATGAGCCCTTTTATGGACTGGGAGACCAGCTGCATTATGGAATTTCTGGTGAAGATCCCCAGTCCTAGAATGCCTGGAACCTGCTGCGTGTAGCTGAGGTTTGGGGTGTGAGGCGTATCTAGGCCTGGCTGCCCTGCTCTGCTTTTCTCAGACAGACCAATTAACCGCAGTGCCTATTAGGAGTGTGCTTCATCGTACACACACTGGAAGTTGCACGTCCAGAGTGGCAGCCGCCTCTCTCCCCTGAAATGACCACTCTGCCCTGTGTTTGCTCGTAGAGTGGCCTTCTGTCCTCCTTCAGCCTGTCCATGACTGACCTCTCCAAGTCCTGTGAGAACCTGTCTGCGGTCATGTTATACAACCCTGGGTGAGTGAGCAGCGGCGTCTCTGTCCCCGAGATGGTCACTGTTGTGACATGTATTGTGCCAACTCCATTACAGACACTGGATAAAAATACAGCCTCTGCAACTGTGCCTGTCATCAAATCAGCTGCAGTCAGTTTCCAAATTCCTTTCCAGCCCTTGCTCTATCTGTGCATAATTTTACTTAGTTATAATCACAACGTAAATGGGATTGTGTTTTCTGGGGTTTTTTTGCTTAGCAGCATCATAAGCATTGGTAAGGGCTCCGTTATCATTTCCATAACCATCCAATATTTCAGAGTCGGCATTTTGATTGCTCAGTGCACAATCCCTTTGGCTTATGCACTTTTATCTCTTTATATAAATTATTAACTGAGGCAGCCATGATTCTCAGGGCATCCAATAGCCAAGGAAATTGTCTTTGCTACTTCTAAACACTAGGGGACTGCCAGAACCATGGACCAGAGGTGTTTAAATGGACTCAGCGGCTGGGAGACTGTGGGCAGTCAGGTTAGCTGTTCAAGCCCATAGTGGTCTCATCAGTGACAAGACAGTGGTACTGAAAATGCCCAAAACAGGGAACAGGAGGAAGGGATTTGGTGCCTTTTTTTTTTTTTTTAAACTCGTTTTTCTTTCAAGAATGTCGAATTTTGAAAATAACATTTGGCAAAATTCAATTCTCCAAATAAGAATAGTAAATAAATGAGTATAAATCTGACATTCCCTCGTAATTACATGGCCTCTCTCAAGTTCTGCCAAGTTCAGTTCAACCAGCTCATCCAGATGTTTGAGTCAATGGTAAGAGTCCCAGGTGTGTCTATAGCCAGGGAGCAGCCGAGTCATCCTTGCACTGATGGTGGAGCATTGAGAACCCTGCAGAGGCCATCTTAGGGTGCTGGGCATGTGGGCTGAGCTGAGGTAGTATGGCAGAAACCCAGAAGAAGGCTGAGCTGTAGAGATAATCAGGGCAGGGAGCCAGGAAGCTCGGATGATTAATTGGAGGTGGGATGTAATGAAGAAAAAGATGTCGACTCCTAGTTTCTGGCTGAAATAACTGGTTGGGTGGTACGTGCCACCTGCTGAAATAGAAATATGGGAGGAGGAGGAGCAGATTGTCAAGAGGCAAGGATGGTAATGAGCACGACCTTGAAAACTAGGCATCAGGCCTTGAACTTTCTCTGTAAGTGACTGCTTTTCAGTACCCTGTCAGCAATCAGATGTCCCCAGGGAAGAGCTGGGGTTTGTGTGGCCTGTCAAAAGCACTGTTCCTCGGCTGGCAGGATGCAGGCAGTTCCCCTGTTGAATGAAACAGATGTTCGCCACTCTTCCTCTTTTGCCACATTCCTTCAGCTGGACGGCCCCTCGTTTGTCCATCCCCATGCTGGGGCTTCGGGGAGACAGACTGGGACTCGGCCACCTCGGAGCATGATTCAGTGAACAGGGAAGATGGGTGTAAAGCCTGGCAGAATCATGACAGTGGTAGCATCGTCTCTGCACAGGACAAATTAGATTAGTTTGGGGGGTTTTAGATCATGGAAAGTCTAGTTCCACCCAGACCTCTGCTCTTCTCTGCCCTTCACCTCTTTGTAGGCCGTCTCCTAGGGCACCTGTGTAGTCCCAGCGTCCTTGAGCCATCTTGGAGCTTCAGCAGGGGACTGAGCCCTGGAGAGGAGTGCAGAGCATGGAGTTCCTTATCTCATATTTGCCCCATCTACCCTCTAGGACCTGTTTTAACAAGCAGGAATTTAAATTGATGACAACTCCTGCTCCAACAGCCTTGATGCAGAACTTTCTTCTGCTGCCCTGACAAACCAGCTGCTGGCCCTCTTAATTATTATGTAATGCAAAGTAGGTGCTTGTTATGTTAGCTTCCTGGCCGGCTCAACACGCACAAACACGCACAGCCCTCCCACCTTCTCCACCTCTGTGTTAAACCCTTGAGCTCTGACTGTCTGAAGATGCTAGGGCTCTTCTTGAATTTCTGCAGCAACTTTTTCTTCTCGCCCAGTTTTCTGAGTACCAGCCTGCCTTCCTGACAGTTGGTAGCAGTCTCCCACATGCTGTTCCTTGGGGTTTTTTTTTCTTCCCAAGTAGAGACTCTGTCTTTCCAGGCCTCTTCCCTTGCTCTCTCCACTCACATCCCAGCAAGCCTGTGGGGACTCTTCCCTCTGAGCATTCTGCTGCCCATCACTGGGGAGGAAGGTGCAGGAGAGATTGTTTTCCTTTCAGTGATCAATGTGGTCACTATGTGAGAAGCAGCAAATGATACAGAGCTCTGACCGTCGTGTCCCTGACTGAGATTCCTGACTCCTTCTGTGAGATGGGAGAGGAGACTCATGGCCCTGCCCCAGAACTGTATTCCAGCTTTGAACCTGAGGATGGAGCTGACCACCCTCAGTCCTTTCTGGTGACTTTTTCTCCCTTCCCAGCATCTGGCCTGGCCCCTCAGTACCCCTAGGAGGTGACTTCCAGCCCCAACCTGATCATCCATCACTTGGTTCTGCAACATTATCTGCACTTTGCACTTTGCACTTTATTGTTTGACTTGCCTCTGGATCTGTAAAGCCTGTCTATAAAACAATCTGTAAAACCTTCTTTCTCTTCATTCCTTGGCTTCATTCTCTTGGAACCTTCCGTCTCTTTATTCCTTCCTTCTTCATTCCTTGGCGAGTAGTCTTCACCCTCTATGCTGAGTTTAAGGATTGTGTCCTTAGGAAGCTTTCTGCACATCTCCCCCTTGAGCTGAGTGCTCACTCTGTGTCCTCTGGCACGCATTTTGGGTATACTTGCATCATAACTTTTTCCAACTTCATTTAATTGATGCTTGTGCATTTAATTGGTGTAGGCTTCTTAAGGGCAGGGACCATGCCTTCATTATCCTTGAATCTCTAGACACTCCCACACAGTGGGGACTTCACCAATGTGCACTGAGCTGTAGGTTGTGCTCTCAGCACAAAGGATGTGTCTGTTCGCAGGTGTCCAGGTGCCTGTTAGTACTTCTTAGTGTCCACGTCACCTGGCCTTGTCTTTGTGAATCTCTTGCGCACACAGATGTACTTCCTATGTGTTTGTTGGTGTTCTTAACATTGCAAAAGCCACACCTCTTGGCTTTTTTGGTATCGCGTAGACCTGAGTATGTGTTTTGTGATAGACGATTTTTCCCAAAGCAAAGCTATCTGAAAGAATTATGGCTGGTTTGCATATTATATCCAGTAAGATCTTCAGAGCAACCCGATTTTTGTTGATATCCTATTCATTTTCCAAATAGTCCATGTGAAAAAAAATTGCTCTGTGTTACAGTTAAATTTTGAGTTTTACAAATGAAATCTCTACCCAAGAACATTGTATCAGCCCAACTGGGTGCAAAAAGTTGGAACATAGTTTTGGAACTTACTGCTGGCCCATGCCTCAAGCTCCCTGGAAACCATGATTTGTACACACACATGTGTGATACTCAGTGCCAGAGAATTTTTGGAAGAGGCAAAGCAGCCTGGTGACTTCCTTTGGGAGTGAGCTCCAGTTTGGAGAAGTGCCCAGCCAGGGTCTTTGCCAGGAGATAATTTCCCTGCAGGGGGAAATGTTCCTTCTCAGCTGGCACAATCTTTAAGAAGAAACCAAGCTTCCCACTTGGGCATTCTCTGCCTTGCTCTGAGACTGCAAACAGGCAGCTAATTTGGCAGAATGTGGAAGCTTTCACAGCTTATGGAAGGTGCTCACAGCAAAATTAGATAAACTTCCAAGCTCATTTCAGTCTTGAAAAAAGGGACTTTTCTTTTTTTTTTTTTTTTTTTTTGAGACAGAGCCTCAAGCTGTCCCCCTGGGCAGAGTGCCGTGGCATTACAGCTCACAGCAACCTCCAAC